GGTGGCACTGTGGAGATGCTGGTGGAGGTGCTGGTGCTGCTGGTGGTGGCAGCAGCAGTGACAGTGGCCCTGGCGACTCCCTGGCCCGCGGCAGCGCGCGGGGGTGTCCCAGTGTGCCCCCGTCACGCGTGTCCCCGCGGGGGTGTCCCAGTGCGGCCCCCCCGGCACACGTGTCCCCCCGTGGCGCCGCTGGCCCCGTGTCCCCGCGCCGCGGCGCGCGGCGGTGACGCGCGGCGCTCCCGCAGTTCTTCGTCGTGGTGACCGTGCTCTTCGTGGCCGAGGTGGCCGCCGCCGTCTTTGTCTACGACTACACCCCCTTCGTGAGCGCCGGGGGGGCGGCGGATTCCGGGGGGGGAAATTGGGGTCCCAGCAGGTTGAGGTCCCAGAGGGGCCTTTGAGGGGGGTCCCATGGGGGTCCCCAAGGGTTTTGCTCTCCCTGGGGGATTCTGTGGGTTCTCAGGGTCCATGGGAGCCTCCCAGCGGGTTGGGGGTCCTGTTGGGAGAGCCAGGGGGATTTGGGGTCCCCTTGGAGGTGTCCCTGGGGATCTCAGTTTGGGGGTACCATGGGGAGGCCCGAGGGATTTGGGGTCCCCTTGGAGGTGTCCCTGGGGATCTCAGTTTGGGGGTACCATGGGGAGGCCCAGGGGGATTTGGGGTCCCCTGGGGGTCCCGTGGGGACAGCGGGTGACGCGGGGCGCGCAGGCGCGCAGCCTCGTGCTGGACAAGGCGCTGGGGGCCCTGAGGCGCCGCTACGGGGCAGCGCAGGACGGCGACCTCGTCACCGAGGGCTGGGACGCCTTCATGACCAAGGTGGGGACGCTGGGGACATCCGCCGTGGGGCGCCCTCACGGCTGGGCACGCCCGGGCGTGGGGGACAGCGGACGTGGGGACACTGGGCCATGGGGGTCACTGGGGACGTGGGGAGCAGGGGCTGTGGGGCACTGGGGCCACGAGGCCCTCAGGGTGGGAGACCATGGGGCTAGGAACGGTTGGGGACACGGGGCCCCGGGACTGGGGGGACGTTGGGAACCTGGGTCCTGTGGGCGTTCGGACAGTGGGAAGGCGGGTCCCACGGGCATCGGGGCACTGGGGAGATTGGGGACGTGGGTCCTGTGGGCATTGGGGACGTTGGGAAGGCGGTTCCCGTGGGTGTTTGGACACTGGGGACATGGGGAGGACGGGTCCCGTGGGTGCTGGGGACGTGGGGAGGACGGGTCCCGCGGGTGTTTTGGACACTAGGGACATGGGGAGGATGGGTCCCACGGGTGCTGGGGACACTGGGAGCGTGGGTCCCGTGGGCGTTGGGGGCGTGGGCAGGACGGGTCCCGCGGGTGTTTTGGACACTGGGGACGTGGGGAGGATGGGTCCTGTGGGTGTTGGGGACGTGGGGAGGACGGGTCCTGCGGGTGTTTTGGACACTGGGGACATGGGGAGGACGGGTCCTGTGGGTGTTGGGGGCGTGGGCAGGACGGGTCCCGCGGGTGTTTTGGACACTGGGGACGTGGGGAGGACGGGTCCTGTGGGTGTTGGGGACGTGGGGAGGACGGGTCCCGCGGGTGTTTTGGACACTGGGGGCATGAGGAGGATGGGTCGCACGGGTGCTGGGGACACTGGGAGCGTGGGTCCCGTGGGCGTTGGGAGGACGGGTCCCGCGGGTGTTTTGGACACTGGGGACGTGGGTCCCGCGGGACTCGCTGACGCGGCGCCCGCCCGCAGCTGCGCTGCTGCGGCGTGCACGGGCACGGGGACTTCGTGGGCTCCGTGTTCCAGACGCGCTCGCGCCGCAGCTACCCCCGCAGCTGCTGCCTGCAGCCGGCCAACCCCGCCTGCGACGGCCACAACACCCACGCCACCGTGGTGCACCCCCAGGTAGGACCCCCCGGCACACCCGCACACCCGCACACCCGCACACCCGCACGCACAGCCGCACCGGCCGCGCGCCGCCTGTGCCTCCGCAGGGCTGCTACCGGAAGCTCATGGCGCTCATCAAGGAGCGGAGCCTGGGGCTGGGGGCGGCCGCCACCGTCGCCGCCCTGCTGCAGGTGGGGGCGGCCCTGGGGGGGGCGCCGCCGGGGGGCCGGTGCTGACCCCCGCCCCCCCCCCGCAGCTCTTCGCCATGGGGGTGTCGCTGACGCTCTACATGGACCTGCGCAGCCCCCCGGCGCCGCCCGCCGAGCCCGAGGCCAGCACGGAGCGCGCGGCGGCCGCGCTCTGAGCGCCCGTCCCACCCACAATAAAGGGGGCGCCGTGGCGCCCGCGCTGCACCTTGAGGCCTTGGCACCCGCCCTTGCCGCCCCATTGGGCCCCAGCGCCGTCCGTCACGGCGCTTCGCCTCCCATTGGCTGGCGTTTCCCTCGCAAACGGCATCACGAGGCTCTTTGGCTGCCCCAGGTGCAGCCCTCGCCCTCATTGGTCATTGGGCCTGTCAGTCATGTGCCGGTCTGCCTTCGTGCCCATGTTGGGGTGCAGTGGTGACAGCTGATTGGTGCGCAGCCTGCCAGTCACTGCAGCGACCCGCCTGCGGGTTGTGATTGGCCTGACTGGCGTTTGCTCCGTGCCGGGCCTGCCCATCGCCTCCCTCCAATCAGGTCGCAAGTTGGCTGCCCTGATTGATTTGCGTTCATGTCATTCTAAATAGGCTCCGCCCCCGTGCCTGACGTCCACCAATAGCGGACTGGCGTGTAGCTGCCTCCTCTCTCATTGGCTCTGCGCGCTGTCAGTGACGAGCCGCCGCTGGCCCTGAGGGAGGGTAGGCTGGACGCTCTSCGTGCGTCATTGGCTGCGGCGAGCGCCAATCAAGCGGGGCGCAGCCCTCTTCCCGGCGCGCTCCCGGTTTGTTCACCCTATGACGGGCTACCGGCGGCAAGAAAGCTGCGTGGGATTGGCGAGCCGCCGTGTCAATCCAAAGAGCCGAGTAGCCACTGCGAGTCCCCCGTCGACCCTCTCTGTGTGCTTATTGGCCGGATCCCTTGCCACTTACCACCAGCGCCCCGGCCTCCCGCCCTCTGATAGGCCCGCAGAGCGCGCCGGCTCGTTTCTCTTCCTGATTGGCCTTCGCCTGCTGCCATTCACCCCCTGCCCGCGTCCCCCATTGGCCGGCACCCGCGCGGGTCGCGGGCGGGGGGCTAGCGAGGGGGCGGGCGCCGCGCCGTAGGGCCCGCCCCCGCTCCCAGCGTGCTCCGCGGCGTGTGTGTGTGGAGAGCGCGGCCTGGTTCCCGCGTCGCGCCCTCGCCGCCGCCGCCGCCGCCATGTCCGAGTTCAGCGCGGCCGGGCCCCCTCCCGCCGCCGGGGGGGCCGCCGGGGGGGGCCCCTCCCCCGCCGCCAACGCCGCCGCCGCCAGCGCGGGGCCGCCGCCGGGAGGCGCGGGGCCCGCGGGGGGCGGCCCGGCCGGCGCGGGGGGCGGCCCGCCCGGCGCCATCCGCAAGGACGCGTTCGCCGACGCCGTGCAGCGCGCGCGCCAGGTGAGCGCCGCCGCCGCCGCCCCCCGCCCGCCGCCGGTCACGTGGGCAGCCCCGGTAACACCTTCCCCCCCCTCCGGCTACCGGCCTGACCTCGCCCCGGGGTGGGGGGGGCGGCACCGGACGGGGGGGGCGGGACCGGAGCCGGCGGGAGAAGCGGCGGGAAAGTTGAGCGGCGGGAGAGTGAGCAAAGAGGCGAAATTCTTTGGAATAGAGCGGAAAAAACCGCGCGGGTTTTGAGGCAGAAACGCGGGGTTTGGGGTCGCAGCGGCGTGCGGCGGCACCGGGCGCAGAGGGGCTGGCGGTGCCGCCGTGGCCCCCGACCGGTCCCGTCACTGGCCGGTCCCGTCACTGCCCGCTCCATCCTGTGACTCCCGGTCCATCCCATCGCTACCCACTCCATCCTGGGACCCCGGCCGGTCCCGTCACTGCCCGGTCCATTCCGTGACCTGCAGCCGGTCCCGTCACTGCCCGTTCCATCCTGTGACTCCCGGTCCATCCCATCGCTACCCGCTCCATCCTGGGACCCCGGCCGGTCCCATCACTGCCCGGTCCGTTCCGTGACCTGCAGCTGGTCCCATCGCTACCCGCTCCATCCTGTGACTCCCGGCCAGTTCCGTTACTGCCCGCTCCATCCTGGGACCCCCCGCCGGTCCCGTCACTGCCCGCTCCATCCTGGGACCGCCAGCTGGTCCCGTCACTGCCGGCTCCATCCTGGGATCCTCGGCCGGTCCCATTGCTACCYGCTCCATCCTGTGACTCCCGGTCGATCCCATCACTGCCCGGTCCATTCCGTGACCTGCAGCTGGTCCCATTGCTACCCGGTCCGTCCTGGGACCCCAGCCGGTCCCACCACTCCTTGTCCCATCCTGCCGCTCCCAGCAGGTCCTGTCACCCCCTGTCCCATCCTGTCAYGTGCAGCTGGTCCCGTTATCCCCCATCCCATCCCATCACTCCCGTCAGTCCCGCCACCCTCTCTCCATCCCATTCTCCCTTGCCTGGCCCCATCCCTCCTTTCCTGGCCGGTCCTGTCTCCCTGGGCCGGTTCTGTCCCCCTTCCCGGCCGGTCCCTCTCCCGCTGCCCGGTCCCGTCACCCCTCCCATTTCCCATCACTTTTTCTCCCCAGATCGCGGCGAAAATCGGTGGCGACGCCGCCACCGCCGTCAACAACAACGCGCCCGACTTCAGCTTCGGGGGGCAGAAGCGGCAGCTGGAGGACGGAGGTGCGGCCGCCACCGCGACGGGGACACCAGGACATGGGCGGGGGGGACGCGTGTGTCCCCCCCCTGCGGCTGGTCTAGCCCTTCTGGAGCTGTGTCCCCCATCAGGGGTGGCCGCGTGCCCCTGCGGCTGGTCAATGTCCCCCTTTAGGGGCAATCTGTGTCGCCTTAGGGGCGGTCTGTGTCACCTTAGGGGTGGCCCGTGTCACCTTAGGGGCGATCTGTGTTGCCTTAGGGGTGATCTGTGTCACTTTAGGGGCGATCTGTGTCACCTTAGGGGTGGTCTGTGTCACCTTAGGGGTGGTCTGTGTCACCTTAGGGGTGGCCCGTGTCGCCTTAGGGGCGATCTGTGTCGCCTTAGGGGCGATCTGTGTCACCTTAGGGGTGGCCCGTGTCACCTTAGGGGTGGCCCGTGTCACCTTAGGGGCGATCTGTGTCACCTTAGGGGCGATCTATGTCACTTTAGGGGCGATCTGTGTCACCTTAGGGGTGGCCCGTGTCACCTTAGGCACGACCACGTTCTTTTGTGGCTGCTTTGGGTCCCCTCAGGGATGGCTTTGTCTCTCTGTGCTTGCTCTGTGTCCCCTCGGGGATGGCTCCGTTCCCCGCTGAGGGCCACGTGTCCCCCCTCAGAGCTGTGTCCCCTGCAGGGCTGTGTCCCCACTTACAGGTGGTTGCGTCCCCATTGAGGTGGCTGTGTCCCCCTGTGCCCCTGCTTGTGTCACTTAAGGGTGGTCGCGTTATTCTGTGGTCGATGTGTCCGCTCAGAGGTGGTGGTTTGTCCCTGTGACTGGTTTGTGTYCCCTTAGGAGCGGCCGTGTGTCCCTGGGACTGATCCGCGTCCCTTCTAGGGRTGCCCGGGTCCCTTTGTGGCTGGTTTGTGTTCCCCCAGGAGTGACCGTGTGCCCCCTTTTTTGGGGGAGCTCTGGTCACCCTTTGGCGTGACCGTGTCCCACTGTCCCTGGTCTTTGTCCCCTTAGGGAGAAGCTGCGTTCTGCTGGGGGTGGCCCTGTCCCCACGAGGACCTGGCCGTGTCCCGCCAGGGCTCTGTGTCCCTGCGCTGGGGCTGTCCCTGTCCCCACGGGGACCGGGCTGTGTCCCTATGGGGTCTGTGTCCCCAGGGCTGGCCCCATCCCAGTGGGGGCCAGGCCGTGTCCCTGGGGCCGGGGGTGGCCCCGGGCCGCGTCCCCCCGCGCCTCACGCCGCCTTCTCTCCCCGCAGACCAGCCCGAGAGCAAGAAGCTGGCGGCAGCGCCGGGCGACGGTGAGCGGGGCCGGGCGGGGACC